ACTTAAGATACCAGACTGCAATGATAGTCTTGGAGATAGGATGGAGGTCATTTAGGTCTGCTTGGCTTTCATCCAGGCATTATATTTTGTTATGAAGAGATAGTAGATGGAGTGGATTCAGATGGGTGTGGATGGAAAGATTGATCAAATGCAAGGAAAACATCCTTACGCATAGGAATAGAATTTGAATGTGGAAATATATCATCGGGATGTGAATCTGAGTGTGTTGAAAATAAGGTTGAATCAGACCGTGAAAAAACTTTGGACTTGGACAAAGAGTTGAGAAAAGTAGGATGATAGAAAGGAAATGTATTTTCATGGATGGAAACATCTCTAGAAGTAAAGGTTGTGTTGGTTTGAAGATTGTATAATTTGTTGGCTTTCATGCCATAAGGGTACCCAATGAAAATTCAAGGTACAAAGCCCTTGGATCAAACTTGGTTCGATTTCGTTTTAGAGTAGAAGCATAACAAAGACATCCAAATACTCTAAGGTGATCATATGATGGCATGGTCTGATAGAGCATCTCATAAGGGGACTTATTTTCAAGAACTGATGTGGGTGTTAGATTGATAAGAATAGTAGCAATAAGTATACACTCTCTCTAAAATTTGTCAGGCAAATTAGCTTGGAATTTAATAGCTCTTGCAATGTTAAGTATATGTTGATGCTTCCTTTCAACTACACCATTTTTATGTGGTGTTTCAACACAACTAATCTGATGGAGGATACCTTCAGAATGATAAAAATCAGTCATGTTAAACTCTAAACCATTATCAGATTTGAGAATTTTTAGTTTGCACTGAAATTGTGTTTGGATTAGGTAATAGAAGGCTTGAATAATAGATCTGGTTTGAGATTTATTTCGCACAAGATATGTCCAAGTCATTCCACTATAATCATCTATAATAGTTAGAAAGTATTTGGAACCATCTAAGAAAGGAACAGAATACAGTCCCCAGATATCACAGTGAATAATATCAAACATTTCGGAAGCTTTTGTCTCACTATGTGAAAAATGCAATCTACGTTGTTTGGCCATAGGACAGATAGTGCAATGCAAATGTTTATTGACTATAATTGTAGGAACAAACTTATGTAGAAGCAGCAACTTGGAGATGGGAACATGCCCTAAACGGCAATGTCAAACATCAATATTAGTGTTGATATTAAGATTGTTCATAGAGTTACAAGTAGCATTATTTGCTTTATTACATTGGAAATGAGAAACAGGATCATGACTAGTATTGAAAAATACAGCAGAATTAATAGTGAAGGAATTATCAGACTGTGTGAAAGGATGATGAAATTTGCGTGAAGATTGATTATGGAGTTGATGATCAGATTGTTGAAAAGAGTACAGTCCATCCTCAAGTTTGCCTACCCCAATCATCCTCCATGTCAAAAGATCCTGAATAAAACAATAATGGTATATGAATATCATAAAGCAGCTATGTTTAAGTATATAGTTGCTAACAGAAATCAAATTGAATGTAAAGTACGGCACAACAAGAACATGAGTCAGCACCAAAGTATTAGATAGCTTGATTATGCCAATATGTGTTGCATCAGTAGTTTCACCATTAGGTAGCTTCACAGATGCATTAATAGTAGCAGTCACATTGGTCAAATGTTTAAGAGACAAACCATATGTTCTAAGGCACCTGTGTCTATAATCCCTGCAACTACGCCAACATTAGGACAAATGCGATTACCTGATAATGCAAATGCATCAGGAACTAAGGGTGAAATAGCTGGTACATCTTGAGGCTATGTTTGATTACATGCTGAGATTTGCCCTTGCAACTGAGGTGCTAACATAGCCAAAATCTACTTACACTAATCATGAGTAATAGTGAGATTTGAAAGAGAATTTATCACTTCTAAGTGATTGCTATAAGATGCTTGTCCCACAACATTTGCAACTGAATTTTTCACTTTATCAAGTCTGTGACCAGTGGAATAACCTATCAACTTATAGCATTTCCCCTTAAGATGACCAAGCGTTCCACAATAACTACATACAGGTCTCTCCTTCTTCTGAAATTGATTAAGTGGTATGTTCCTTTGATTTCCAATGGATCTGTGTACCACATTGCTTGCAAAAGCTATTGCCTCAAGATTTTGTTGTCTCTTAGCAGTAACATCATTTTGCCTCTCATCTTGTAAGATCAGTGCAAATACTTTATTAAGTAAAGGCAATGGATTCATTAGTAAAATTTGACTCCTAACACCAAAAAAATGCCCATCTAATCCCATTAGAAATTGCATCACCTCATCTTCATGCTTATAATCAATGATGCTTATCTCATGTCTATAGTTATCCAGTTCTTCCCAAAGTTCTTTGAACCGATTAAAGTAAGAGTTGACTGAACTGTTCTCTTGTGAAATCGAAGCAATCTGCATCTTTAGTTCATAAATACGACGGCCATTAACTTGGCTATAATGATCCCTAACCTCAATCCAAATCTCTTGTGATGAATCCTTGTGTATCACACTTGGATAGAGCTCTTTTGGAATGGAATTAATAATTCAAGAAGAAACCACACGATTGCATCTTCTCCAAGCACTGTAAAGGAAATCATCATGTTGTGGCTTGACAATGGATCCATCAATGAATCGTTCATTGTTCTTGACACTAAGTGCCATAACAACAGCATGACTCCACGTCTCATAATTTTCCTCTGTTGGCACAACTGAAATAAGTTGCATCCCTATGTTATCACTATAACGAGGATAATATGGACTGTTCATATCTATTATTAGTCTATTTGCCATGGAAGTCACATCTCCTCCAACCATTTCTCCACCAGAAGACTCGACGGAAAAATTATTATGATCGGATTGATTTTGAACTATTGTTTGAGTATTGGAATCTCTCGCCATAGCAAAGAAGTTTCAGAGCTCTGATACCGTGTTGAATTATGGAGAGAAAATTCTAGAATGAAAGAACAGAAAATTGGCGGAAAAATTATGTTCTTATTTCACATAAAAATGACGTGTGTTCTTATTTCACATGAAAATGACGTGTTCTTAGTTAGTGTGTGTGTGTGTGTGTGTGTGTATAAATGCCGTGTAACTCTCCTAACAGATTTGATACAATGACTTAAATAACCCTATGCTAATGTGGTTTAACAAAGCTATACATTAAACTATCGAGATGAAACTCGGAACTTCTTTGTTAATCGGGTAATTGGATGAATTATCTTGGTTAATTGATTTCTAGTTGCCACTTTTTTTAGGAGATTTTATTTATTTAGAGAAAATGAGAGCTTTTTCTTAATAAATGGGGATCCATTATCTTTTTTAGAAGATTTGAGACTCCTTCAATTGCCCTTCATTTTTTCGATTTTGTTAATTTCTTTTATTTTTATTTATTTAAAGAGGATCTCTATATGCAAATTTAACCAAAAAATGGAGGTAAAGACATAATTTTCGATTAAGTGAAAGGTTGGACATGTCTAATGCTAAAAATATGTTGATGGTACATTAGTAACAGTTTGTAAAAGTAGAAAACACGTGTAAATTTCCCTTATTCTTAATGATTAATGAGCACACTACAAAGTAATTATGTAAAGCCCGGTGTAAATAAAAAAGGGCCATAAATTTAAAGCTAGTTTGTTGAGCGATAAATTATAATTATCTATTTATAATTAATGATAATTCTCGTACACTTGGACTTTTTCGGTTAGGTACAACTATAGACAATATAGAGGGAAAAATAAATCATATTTATTATTGTGTACAGAACATTGAGTTGTCCCATCAAGAGATAACATGTGGAACGAATAAATATTTATCAACTTTTCAAATAGGCGTATCATGAAAGAGAATTCATTGAATACATAATCATTTACTCGCTACATGGCGAATATACCTTCCAAGGGAAAATATATTTTTAAAATCGTCATTTGGCCGTACTTGCTACGAGTAAACCTACCACAGTATAACACATTGCATAAACTATCATATAACAGCCCTTTGTGTTGCAAATATCCCTAACAAGTGACAATATGTCGCATACATCATCATTTTGTCGTTGGCACAACTAATATACTTAATCATCGTAGGTGAATCAGATGAATAAATTGTCGTTTACCTATTATGTTGCGAATATACCTGCCATTGAAGAATGTAATATAAATATCTGTGTAAATTATACGATTGAAGGCAAAGAACCGACTGACCATTTTATAGGTCTAATACCAAAACAATTTTATATTATTCAAAATAAATGAAATTATTTAGATTAACTAAAACTAAAATAGTTGACTATTCTCTCTTTTGTTATATTTTTCACATTAAAGATTCATAAATGAAAAGCGAGAACAATGACAAAATTTGTTGATGTATCATAGCTGGATTAGCATAGAGTAATAGAAGTATTACGATTGAATAAACAAAAAAAAATATCATATATATGTCAAGTATTTTCATTTCTTATGTATACAAACAGGGTGGAGCCAAGGAGGCATCAAATTTTAAGACTCAATTATAAATGATTTAATTTATAAATAGATCAAAATGAGTGACAGTGAAATTTGACATATATGCATTAATTTGAGTATTATAAATTGATTTATAAAATTTGCTAAAGGGAGGCTAAATTTTTCTGTCAAAAGAATACAAAATTATACAAACAAAAAATTTATATAAATGATTCCAAAGAAGCTTTTGAGACCCGTCAAATTGTGGGTCCTACCTAAATTGCATGTCTGACTCGTGGAAACTGGCCATGAAGAAGGATTCATTATAAGACATCCCCCCATCCGCCGAAGGGTTACTGCAAAATCCTCATAGCCATTGTTCTGCAGTGTACTCACAGTTGAAGTCAGCCATTCCATTTAATTCACGCTTTTCGGTTGCTCCTTTAAGGCCTTTCATCATCTGTTTTTTTTTTTNTTTTTTTTTTTTTTTTTTTTTAATCGTGTACATATACAAATTAAAAGTTCTGATTTTCTGCCATTTCTACAGTACTTCTGGTTTCAGAGAGAGAGAAAATGGCCCCTGGACAACATACTTGCTGCGACAAAAAAAAAATTAAGAGAGGGTTGTGGTCACCTGAGGAAGATGAGAAACTCATACGGCACATTTCTGCCTACGGCCATGGCTGTTGGAGTGCAGTTCCTAGACTTGCAGGTATCATTTTTAGAAACTTAATTTCCACACACGCGTGTGTGTGTAAATACAGTGTTTGCACCCTAACAAATCGTCATTTAAAAAAAAAAAAAAATTAAATCGCGATCGAAGGAACTCAACCCTCCCCTAAAAGGAGGCTTGAAATGAGTCCAAGAAAAGACTTTGCTCTTATCACTTCATCTAGGATTGGCCTCTAATGGGACCACATTTATATATACAGTTACATCAGTTTTGTTCTTATTTTGGTGCAGGGTTGCAGAGATGCGGCAAGAGTTGCAGGCTGAGATGGATAAATTACTTGAGGCCAGATCTGAAAAGAGGGAGTTTTTCTCCAGAAGAAGCAGCTCTCATAATTGATCTCCACAATATTCTTGGCAATAAGTGAGTGCCATGATCCCATAATAATGAATTATTTCAGTTACAAATCAATGCAACCTGATATTTCTCTCTTTTTTAGATGGGCTCAGATAGCAAAGCATCTTCCTGGAAGATCAGACAATGAAATCAAAAACTTTTGGAATTCAAGCATCAAGAAGAAACTAATGGCAAGGAATCTTTCTAATTCAGCCAGGAGCAATTTTCAAGGCTTGAGCTCAATGAATTTTAACTCTTATCTGATCCCAACTGCCCAAATGGATCAAGTCTACATCCCTCCTGCAGCCCCAAATAATCCACTGCCACTAGGGTTTGATCAGGTGAATATCAATACTAATTTAATCCCAGCGCTGACTTCTCTTCCCATATCATCTTTGGATTCATCTGCATATAATCTGCCTCCACTGGCATGGATGGCATCAGAATACCATCAGCCTCAATTGGTTGATCATCAGCAACAATTTATTAAACAGAAAGATAATTCCATCTTCATCAATGGTGGCCCAGCGGCTCCACAGTATTTCAACGCACCACCATTAATGAGGACTTACGCGGATACATCAGTAATTAATGGGTTGCCAAAACTCTGCGAAATGGCAAATGGGAATCAGATTGGAATGTATTCATCTGTTCCACCAGTTCTTGAAGCAGTTTCTAAAGGTTTTTCAGGATTCCCTTCTGGGCTTTATGCACCTGAGATGCAGGTGCCGGCAGTCGGTCATATCCTGTTCATCCAATCACTCATGTCAACATTCAACGCATCATCCTCGCACTCTCAAGCACTGCCTCTACTACCATGCAGCAGGCCGTTTCTATTGAACCCTAATCAGCCTTCAGGCTGGATCAATCCCTAGACATGGTGGTGCTCAATTCAATTTTCTGATCTATGGCAGGGATCATTAAATGCCATGAATAAGAGTTTTTAAGGTTATGATGCTTTAGCGCAAATAAAATAAATAATAAAAATAAAAACTTGTTTCTCATTTGGGATTTTCAGCGTATTTTTCCCTTTTGATGGATGTTAATAAATAAGAAAGACTATCTTTCATATGTTTATTTTGTTGGATTTCACTTATTCAACTAGCAATTTATATTTTTGATTTATTATATTCTGATAAAAGACCTCAAGGACCGTTTTGATCGCATTCTCTCCTAAAGTTCAAAATTTGTGGCCACTTTGGCGTAATAACACAAGCTTAAATTGCAATATTAAAGAATCAATGAAAGAATTCAATTGTTGGTTTAGTGAGCACTAAATACAAGATATGCACATATTTAATACAAAAGTGTGCTTCTGACTAAAGAGTGTTGCGTAGGTGCAACCAAACTCGTAGCTCGTAGGTATATATGTATGCATTCATGCGGCTTACGAGACACGTGGTTAAACAAATGTCTAAACAAAAGGTTCAAAATGTGTTCTTGTTTGCGTGCTTTTGTGAGCACACACAAGTCCATCGATAATTCGCATACAATTACATCTTCTAATTGAAGAGCGTACAAGTACATCATACATTTTTTACTGCACGAGGTTTTGTTTACCTACCATAGTCAACACATAGGCAAGTGAGAGAAATAGAATACAGTAACTTTTTTTGAAAGTAAAATTTAGTGCCAAATTAAATCATTTTTTTACTTAAAAGTAAACTTTTTTGATTCAGTAAAAGGTTCTTTATACTTGATATAAGGTGCACATATTTAGGAGTACAAACGTGTGTGTGTATTTAAGACAACCAATCGGGTGTTATAAACTAGATTAGACCCACTGGTATATATTTGTAGAGCGGACTTAGCTGGCCCCCTTGCATTCATGTGGCCTTGGTAAAGCAGTTTAACTCTTGTCGAGTTGACATAGTAGAATGCACATATCATTTTGGTGCACTTATATAGTACTGGTAGTACTTACCTAATATACACGTTTTTAGTTTCTAACGAAAAGATTGCACACAATATATTGCAAATGATGTTGTGATAGGTATGTTCAATACACCAATATTTGAGAATACATTTGTTCAAAGGGTCTAGGAATACAGGTAGAATATTTTTGGCTTCCAAATTTATAAATAGGTTGCCAAACTGATTCGGTTAACTCATATCCTGTCCAATATGCTGAAAATTTCAGAGTTGGAGAAAACATACTTTATTAAACACGCTTTCACTTATTGATTTGCTCTGATCATTGACATGTGGCAAATGGACAACCGTTGGATCATCACTATTTGGTTCTCTCATAAATTGGAACGTTGACTTCTGAAGGCAGATGAATTGGTTTCTCTTTTAACCCTAGTTCTCTTTTTCTCTCTCGACTGCGATATTCTTACTGAGTGTATAATCTATATTTTTTGAGTGAAACCACATTAGTGTGAAAGAGAGTGATAAGATCAATCTCTTAGTGAGATTGTGCTGTAATTTTGAGCATTATTTTGTGTTTGAGAGACAAAATACTTGGTGTTCTTCTTTAATTGTTTTCTTGTCTGTTTTGGGGATGTTCTAGTTGATTCAAGCAAAATCCTAACGGATGCTCAATGGAGGATTAGGCGTTAAAAGCGGTCGCCGAACCTCCGGGACCTTGGGTCGAATCCCAACAAGATCAACATGGCAAGAATCCTATGTCATAAAGGAGAAAATATGTTTGTTAGAGAAAGGCTGGCCAAATTATGAAGGAGCATAATATATACCTTATTGAAAAGAGGAATTTCCGATCCCAGAAAGTGAACAATCTTTTCTAACTTGCACACAATCTAAACTAATCTTCCATTAAAGTTTATAACTAAATACTAATCTTGATGTAGCTAACCATCCACTCAAACAATTGTACATCAAACCAAATATCTTGATCACAACTGAATTTTCCACACTGTACTAAATTGAAGTAACTAACATAGAATCTAGCAAACAGTACACAAGTAATACTACCTTCAAAATCCATCACAAGTTGCAAAGATCTACCTCAGATTTTATATAATAATGCTCCCTGAAGGCCTTATCGACCATAAATTAAGTAGATTTTAATTCATTACATTTTCCAGAACAACAAAACTCAAATATACATGCTGCAGCACCAAAATTTTAAATATAAACAACAACTCACATCATCACAGATTGCAACACCCAAGTCCATATCAGCTAACAATAATTAATATTCATTTCCAGCTTCCCAGAAAGAAAAAATAATAACTTAAACTCAATTTCCCAAATAAGAAATAACAACTCAAATCATCGCAGATTGCAACACCCAAGTCCATATCAAATAACAATAATTAATATTCATTTCCAGCTTCCCGAAGGAAAAAATAATAACTTAAACTCAATTCGCAAATAAGAAATAACTTAAATTCCAGATAACAGAAATCCTACCTTTATTATCTAAGCACAGTTAAACTCAATGGCTTTAATGTGCAAGGTGCCTACGGCGTGCAACTACATATACATTCATTTATACATCTCAACTGTATATACATATAAATCTATAGGTAAAAGATGAGACATCGAGTGAAACGAAGGAAATGAAAAAACAATTACTAAACTGAAATCCAAATCTATCAAAACAATTACGTACGGGATGTTCTCTTTTGTGTTTCTGTTTTGTATTTTGAGTTTTGAATTCATTTTGTGTTTTGTATTTTAGGTATTCATTTTGAGATTGTTGAAAATGTGTTTTTTTTGACATTTTGAAAAATTGTTTTGAAAACATTCAAAAAGCAGTTTGAAAATTTTGGCTTGATTATAATTGAAAACACTCAAAACGACAAATTTGTCGTTTTAGGTTTTCTTTGTAACATTTTAACTTGTTTTCAAAAACGCGTTTTTGAAAATAGGAAAGAGAACACGTTTTCACTGTTTTGAAAAATCGAAAACAGAAAATAGCTTGAAAATGGTAAAGAGAACAGACCCTTAGGTTGCTTGAATCAATGATTTTACAAAATGGTTTATGTCTCAATTACGATCACGGTGAATTTCTCGTAGAAGTTTGGCCATTGAATTTATCAAAAATATAATAAAGCCAACAAATCAATCTATAATAATTAAGAAAACCATCACTGCATCATGTTGGGAATTTACTTAATCATACAAAGTGGAAAATAAATTATTTTTCAATTCCCCACCACGTATCTGCTTTGTATTTAGATAGAAACTGTGTTTAGAATAATACATTTGATGAATTCTGCAAACTTTTTTGCTGATTCTTGAACTCCAATAATTAGGATCTGCAATCCAAGCTGTCAAATTATCCAACCTCCAACGGTGATCCACTCGGAGAACAAGAATGACGACTAGGGTTTTCTTTTCTTGTGCTGCAAGAATAATGAATTATTGCATACAGTTTTCAAACCCTAACAGCCTATTAATATAAGTCCAAGTAGGTTCTACCCGTTTGTTAAATTTAACCCGGTCAAATATTTAATTAATTAAATCTGATCTATGAATTAATTAATCCAATTTTAATTCGGGCCTATTAATAAGCAACACAATTAATTAATTATCCAACATTTGTCAATTAATTAATTGGAAAATCTCATTCTTCTAGTTCCCTTTTGTGTGGGACACATCAGGTTCTCGATCACGATACCTAACGACGTGAATTATTATTTTGATCTAATTAAAATCGATCAATTAAAACATCCCTTTTAATTTATCAATAATTCACATTCCTCGTCTCAGATTGACATCTAACAATGTGTTGGGCCAATACATGAGACGAAAAATGTCACGTAGTATGACAACCAAACTTGTTCGTTTACCGTAAAACTATAATCCTTTCATCAATATGATCCGATCAATTATGAAATATGGATATGTGTCAATTTCAATTATTGACCATTTCTTGTATCCCACTGTTAAGTCAATGTAAGTCGAAAACTGTTTTTCGACTTATGAGTTCATCTTGGTCAATGATTTCATTATCAATTTAATTGAATAAAATATAAATCATAATATCTTGCTATCTAAGAGTAACGAATCATCTATCGATCATTCACAATCTTCATATGATTCTTGACATACCCGAACGATGTTGTATTAGATCCTTGGTAGAGCAACATCCAATACCACCAAAGTATGACTGTCCTCATATAAGTGTAATAACCTCAAGTCAAAGGACCAATTCAACTACCGAACGTTAGAGATTAACCACTAACACTCAAATAGTTATCCATGTAGAATCTCCCAGCGGGTCTCCAATGTTTTGTTTTATAACAAAACAGCCGCGTGTTCATTCAAGTGTGGCCACACTTTAACTTGTGAGATCAGCTACTTACTTCACAAGTAAGAATGCCACACGTAATAGTGTATCCATAATAACGATATTCGTGTCTCGTTATTATTTCGACCACGAACGATTTAAGATTCAGTCATATGTAATTTGTATCTCACAATCACAACTCCTTGTGATTAACAAATCACCAAGACTTGAATTTACGAATTCTATTGTTTAATTTATTAGAATATTAATTCAATTAAATAATAGATATTACCATAAATATGCATCGATTATATATAAATTTAAAGTGGTAATGTCCAAAGTTGATTGGATATAGGGAATAACACTTACAAATCCAACGTGTGCAACTGCATGTACATTCATTTGTGATGATATTTTATAGTTTGTAGGAGAAATAAGTAAACTAGATTGGAAAGGTTTGATGGTTTATATGATATTTTGAGGATAAAAATAGTAGAGGGTAATTTTAAATTGGACACAATAAGTGAAGGGGGAAATTTTAATTTATTAAAAAACAAAATTTTAAAATGGCAAGAGACTATTACAATGATAATGCTTTTATACTTCTCCACACAACAATTGAAGTGGCAACCCCTATTTATAGCATACAAAAACTGGTGGTTTACCTCTAGAAAA